TTGTAATTTCTAGTTCTCAACTAAAATTAGATCACTATACTTTAACCTGAGCATGGGGCTGTATTTTGAAGTCTTAAGATATTAACACCCTACTCAGTTGTCAATCTGCCACAAAAGCAAGCACTCAGCATTATTTTAAACTATTAGCAGGTCTAGTAAGATTTTCTTTCACAGATGAGGACTCTTTCTTTCATAGATGAGGACATTTTAAAGGGTTCCTTGCTATGCCAACTTCACAGAAAACAATTATTACTATCTCCTATATTTCTGAAGAATTTTTTATAATATATTTATATTAGTCTTTTAACAATTAAATCCATAACTCAAAAGAATGAAGAGTTCACTTTTCTAATAATATTTCTAATACAAAGAAGTTTCAAATTAATGTTAGGCATTATCTTCATACATACTTAATACATATCTTTATACATGCTGAGGTAACTTGGCTTAAAACCACACAGCTAACAAGTTTCCTGGTTCATATAGTATAATAAATTCTGATTAATCAAAAGCATCTTATTGGGAGAGACACATTTAGACTAGAATAAATTCAATTATACCTGTATCTGTTTTCCAAATGGTATAATACAGAATCTCAATTTGTAATTTCAATGAGTAGTATTTTATACAAGCCTATTTATTCCAATCATTTCATATTATGGATTTACTATTTCCAGCTAATCCACAGCCAAAGATTTAAAAAGTGATAGTAGGGCTATAAAACTGTGCAAACCCTTTGATCTAGCAATACCACTTCTAGGTCTGCATCCCAAAGGGATCATAAAAATGGGAAAAGCACCCACATGTGCAAAAATATTTATAGCAGCTCTTTTTGTGGTGGCCAAGAATTGGAAGCTGAGGGGATGCCCATCAAGTGGGGAATGGCTGAACAAGTTGTGGGTACATGAATGTAATGGAATATTATTGTTGCATAAGAAATGATGAGCAGGTGGACTTCAGAAAAACCTGGAAAGCCTTATGTGAACTGATGCTGAGTGAAATGAGCAGAACCTGGAAAACATTGTACACAGTAACAGTGACATTGTGTGATGACCAATTTTGATAGACTTAGCTCTTCTCAGCAATGCAAGGATCTAAGGCAATTCCAAAAGACTCATGATGGAAAATGCTATCCACATCCAGAGAAAGAACTATGGAGTCTGAATGCAGATTGAAGCATATTATTTTCTCTCTCTTTTTTTAAAATTTTGTTTTGTTTCTTCTTTCTCATGGTTCCACCCATTGGTTCTAATTCTTCTTTACAACATGACTAATGTGGAAATATATTTAATATGATTGTACAGGTATAGCCTATATCAGATTGCAAGCTGTCTTAGGGACAGGGGAAGGGAGAGTGAGGGAGAAAATTTAGAATTCAAAATCTTATAGAAGTGAATGTTGAACACTAAAAATTGATTAATAAAAAAGTGGTAGTAATCTTCCCCAGTTCTCACACTTAGGAACACCTTGCTTATCAAATTTCTCTAAATTCTCTATAACTTTGTCTATTGACTTTCAAATCAAGCTAGAAAATGTTCATTTTCAATATTTCTACTTAAACAGAGTCAAACTTCCTCATACCCTCTCAACATGCCTAGATCACCTGAAGCCAGCCCAAGGGCATGCAGAGTAACTGTCCAGAGGCAGGAGGGGATTGGAGGATGTGGGCTTGCAGCTGTCTGCCAGCTGTGTACAGAGTGTGTCCCCCGTTTGTACCCAAACCCTATCTACCTTCCATATTTTCTCTAAAGTCTTTATTTTTCTTTCCAAATTTTCCATACCCATTACTCAGACTACCCAACTTTCCTTTACATTTCAACACTATCTCAGACTGCACATACTGTTGTTAAACTGATGTCACTACAACCCTACTTTTCCAAGCTATAGAGTTAATTTCAACCCAGGGGATCCTTTCATTAGTTTGCCTATTACAATTATAACCTATTGCTTCATTAGCTATAATTCAGATGTTCTCTAGGAAATCAAAAGAGCTCCACTGTACTGCCTATTTTTAATCTCAGAAGGGTTTTTTTTTTTTTGCTTTTTGGTGAGGCAATTGAGGTTAAGTGACTTGCCCAGGGTCACACAAGTGTCTGAGAATCTGGAGGCCAGATTTGAACTCAGGCCCTCCTGACTCCAAGGCTGGAGCTCTATCCACTTGAGCCACCTAACTACTCCCTCAAAAGAAGTTTGTGGGACAAATCCTCTTTTATAGAGAAAATCATTAAGATGTTTTTAGTGATTACAAAAACTTTTAGGAGGCATGCAGTGGTTTATGTTCCTGTTGAAACACAAGATTGGGGTTGTGTCTACTCACAACCTTGTTAACAGATTAAAAAAGTGTTGCCCAAACAAAAATAGAGATCTATTATGTTACCTACAGGGATCAACTCACAGCAGTTTTCCAAATTAAATCATACTCTCTTCTCTTTTTTTCATACTTTTCACTTTTCAGAATCTAGAGAGTTTATATTTTGTAAATCATATGTCAAGAGAGTTGTAATTTTCAATTCCTATCAAAATTCACATACAAACAACTTTTACAACAGTAATACACATTTTAAACACAAATTGCTGAAATTCTAAAGTGATTGCATTTAAGGCCACTATAAAGAAACCTTGATCAAAATGTCTTAAAGGACAAAAACTTATTTTGCAGTTTTAAACACATTGGTCTGATTGGGGTGGGTGATTTGTAGGGAACAGAATACCATCAGAAAGCAGGGAATTCTAAAATCTGGCTAGGAGATCTTGTCCTTAAATAGTTCATGGGTGGATTTTAAGGATAATAAGGTAGCAAATTTAACCACTAGCTGGTGTTTCTCTGAGTTACAACAAAATTCATTTCCACACTCTGCTTCAGTTAGTTAGCACTTGTTAAATTTCCTCTAATTAACTTAACAATAAAAAGATACCTTTTCTTCTGCAATAGAAACACTTTTGAAATGCTTTCATATTTCAGGCAGGGACTGATTAACAAAATGGGTGCAAATGATCCGAGCATCTCTTGGAATACAGGTTCTTAGTCTCCAATATAATTTAGCACTTTTGTGTAGCCTAGTGTGAAAATTGAGGAAGATTCTCACCGTCTTTCTGTACTGTCTTCTGAAACTTACTCCAGTTTTCCAGGGGAGCTGCACAAATATCCAAACCCTCAAGTAAAAATCACCCAGTCTGCTGCAATCTGTTGTAATCATCAGGATTATTGGGGTCCTGTTGGGGATCTTGTAAAAGGCAAATTGGAGATTTCCCCCTTCTATCGAGACTAACCTATTAGCTGCCTCTATGACTGCCTGTCTTTTACTTGGGGAGAGAGCAAAGTCATCATTAAATCAGTTATGTATTTTCAATCATTAAAATGATCTATCACTGCTCCTGGATTCTCCTCAGACCCAGGGGCATTATTTCTCCAGGTGGAGAGAGCAGAGGGAGAAAAAGGTTTGTATCTCTAATAAAAATCACATTACCTTGGTTAGACAAAGGGAAGAAGTTTTTAGTAAATCTTTCAGTTTAAGTTAAATTTAGCCAAAGTGTCCTCCTGAGGGATGACATAGTTTAGGACTGATGGGAGGCTATCAATTAATCTCATTGGAAACTAAAATTAAAGATACTGGGGACAAAGTGGAGGAGGGCTTCATCTGGAGGTCTCCTTTCTTCTTAGCCATGAAATAATAAATCTGAATCTGTTATAAAAATTAGTAGGAGTCTCATATAATTTACATCAAAATTTCTAAATTCAAAATAGACACCATTTCAAAAGTTATTTCTAAATCAATTCTTACTTCACTTTAATTTGCAAAACTCATCAGTATATGCAATTCAAGTTTCTAACATTTCCTTACAAGCTTATTTTTCTCTTGTCAATCCAATCCTTTCATTTCCAAACTTGACCAGATCTTTTTGAAAGCTCAAAAGCATTCAGAGTGGTTGGCAAGGGTGTGCACGCTTACAATGACAAGAGGCTCTGAGAGCCACATAGGCACAGAGAAACACGCAAACAGAACGACAGGTTAATGGACAAACAGAAAACATTCATAGGAGTGTGATAGTGGCTTCAGGAAAAGGCTAGTTTGATTTTAAACATAGATAACATGACACAAAGAACACAGAGGTGCTTGAGTTTAAACCTTCAGAGTCACGTCTATGCTAAAATGATGTACTACAAAAACCAATTGAGATTAGATAACATATTTATAGTAGACTCAGCTAGCAATGCTGTTACTTCCTCCACTAGCATTCAGGAACATGTGAATAGAAAGCAAAGAAGGACGACAGCCAAGGTTGGGGCTTGGTAAGGCAAGAACATACACAGGGCACGTAGTTCCTGAATATCAGGGACTGGGTTTTTTATGGTTTTTTTTTTTTTGTTTGTTTGTTTGTTTTAACCTTTCTTTGCATCCCCAGCTTTCAGAAGAGTGCATAGTACGTATTTGAGAAGTGCTGGCTGGATATCAGCCCTCTCTGTATCTTATTGTTGTTCTGTGTTCCATGCCTTTAAAGTCAACTAATCAGCCAGTGTTTCTTAAGCACCTACTACGTTCCAGACACCATGGTAAGCACTTGAGAGACAAAGAAGGGCCAAAAAACCAAAAACCCTCAAAACACAACCCAATGCAAATTTGCGTGGAAGCTGAAAGCCTTTGCGAGAGTGCTAGAAATAAGTGAAATTCAGATTTTCTTGGAATGATGGGGGCAAAACCAAAACGAAACAAAAAGCCCTTGTGGACTAACATTTCTTGCACCGTCTGCAAAAAGCACACAGGTTTGTGCTGAGCCCTGCGTCAGATGGGGGCCGGGAAACTGAGCGAATCAAATTCTTAAGCACTTTGCGGAAAGGGACCTCTACCCTGTCTCCAGCAATTCGTTCAAGTTCCGCGCCATTGAGGGAGGAGCTTCGCGACGACACGCCTTCCTGTACAGAAATTTGTTCCTCGGAAGACGCCGTACGTAGGCATGTGTGTGAGGGAAAGGGCAGTAATTGGCACGCGGATCCCATAAAGCCGAGGCTCGTCTCGCGATAGGTGGACTCGGGAGGAGAGGAGGGAGATCTGAGCGGCGGAGCAGTGGCGGGCGGCCGGCACTCCGGCTCGGTGGGTGAGCGCCTTGGGCACAGCCCCGCGGGGGTGCGGCCGCTTGTGGGGGATGCTCCAGACTGGGCCTGGCCCGGGGAGCTTGAGCTAGCCGAGGGGTCACGTAGATGCGGAGGAAACAGTATAGTGCCTCCCTTCTCCGCCTTCCCGGCTGTGCAGGGGTCCCTGCACCCCAAAGCCTGGGCAGGGATTGGCACCGAGAGGTTCCCTCATTCCAAGCCTGGGCAGGGACTCGGTCCTCCCGGGGGTCCCCGCACCCCAAAGCCTGGGCAGGGGTTCGGTCCTCCCGGGGGTCCCCGCACCCCAAAGCCTGAGCAGGGACTCGGTCCTCCCGGGGTCCCCGCACCCCAAAGCCTGGGCAGGGACTCAGTCCTCCCGGGGGTCCCCGTATCTCTAAACCTGGGCAGGGACTCGGTCCTGCTGGCATCTCCAAGCCTGGGCAGGGACTTGGTCCTCCCGGGGGTCCCCGCACCCCAAAGCCTGGGCAGAGACTTGGTCCTCCAGGGGGTCCCCGCATCTCTAAACCTGGGCAGGGACTCGGTCCTGCTGGCACTTCCACGCGTGGGCAGGGGCTTGGTACTGCTGGCACCGAGGGGTCCCCACACCCTGAAGCCTGGGCAGGGGCTCGGTCCTGCTGGCACCGAGGGGTTCCTGCACCCCGAAGCCTGGGCAGGGGCTTGGTCCTGCTGGCACCGAGGTGTCCCCGCACCCCCAAGCCTGGGCAGAGGCTCGGGCCTTCCTGCACCTAAAGTTCTACCGGGTTTCCCCGCACCCCCAGGCCTGGGCAGGGACTCGGTCCTGCTGGCACGCAGTATTCCTCCAGGGGTCCCCGCATCCTCAAGCCTGGCAGGGACTCCATGATCACGGACCTTGGGCACCATGAACCCTTCCTACCCTAGCTCTGGGTCGGGATCCTGCTCCCCCGATTGGTGTCAGACTATGTCTCCTCTCACTACAGTAGAGTAGTACTCAATGGTCAGCGTCTATACTGTCTGTTCCCTTTAGGCTTCGTGATTTAAGTGGTTAGAGCCGCCCGCCTGGAGCCGGGTCTGGTTTTGAATCTTGTCCCAGGCGCTCCTGAGCTGTTTGAGACTGAGAAACCTACTTAATGCCCCTGAACTGCAGTTTCCACAACTGTAGGGGATAATAGTAGCATCTACGTCAAAGAATTGTTGTGAGTTAGCAAAAGAGTAACTCCAGCTCATGCTTGGTACATAGCAGGTGCTTTTTACATGCTTGTGGAGCCACTGAATTATAAAAATCTTGGAGGCCTTTATACACATGATCAACTATTACAGCTAAGTAATCTGCTAAAAAGTTTTGCCTTTCCTTCTACCTCCACCTTAACCTTTGCTTGTATAAAGAAATGAGCAGTTGCCAGCTCTGTTGCTTTCATTTTATTGGGCCACCGGGCTCAAACTCAACCCTCTTTTCTATATCACTGTCTGAATCTTGGAAAGTCTCTTCTCCACAACATATGATATGAAAGTTCTTAACTTTTTTCTATGCAAGGAACCCTTTTAGCAGTCTGGTGAAGCCTATGAACCTCTTAAAATAATGCTTTTAAATACATAAAATACTTCATTAAACTAATTAGGAGTAGGACTACAAAGGAAACCACTTATATTGATGAGGATTCTCAAAATATATATGTGAAAAAACCAAGTTCAGGTACCCCAGTTTAAGAAGGCCTGATCTAATTGTTTCCTGGGCCACCAGCTTCCCTATTGCCCCCTCCTTTTTGGTCAGTTTCACGATGGGAGATTTCCTTTGGATCCCTTGAGTGGTGTAATTGATCAAAGAGGAACTGCTGAAACTGCTACTCCTTTTGTTGGATAGTACCAACCCTAAGTTATTAATGACTCACTTATATCTGGTTTCCTAAGGTTTACAAAGCATTTTCCCAACAAAAACCTTGAGAAGTATCTGGTTTAAGTATTGTTAGCCATTTTTGACAGATCGAAATAAAGTAGAAAGGACTTTTGAGGCCATCTAGTTCAGCCATTCCTGATAAAGAATTCCCTCTTAACCGGAAAGTACTCATCCTGCCTCTAATGGGGGAAACCCTTACCTGATGAGGTAGTCCCTTCTATATCTTCCAATTGTGAAGTTTTTCCTCACAGACTAACTTTACAGTTCTACAATTAATAACACCTGTAGTCTGAAGTCCCCCCACTTCTGGAGCCAAGCAGTGAATTCAGATTCTTTTTCCATATGACAATCCTTCAAATGTTTGAAGCCTGCTATCATCCTTCTTAAGTTCTTTTTTTCCAGATGGTTCCTTTAACTAGTACTTGTATTATTGTTTCTTCCTTCTATTGTCTTGCTTGTTCTCTTCTAAGTGTGTTCAAGTTTTTAGGTCCTTCCCAGAAGTTGGTAGCCAAAACTGAAAACTGTATTCTAGATGTGGTTTGATTGGGACATGGTACAATGGAACTGCTATCTCTCTTATTCTTAATGTAGCCTAGGATACTACATCATACAGCTGATTCTCTGAGCTTACAGTCCACTAAAGTCTACAAATTGTGTTCATGGTCATCTTTGTTTAGCTGTAGCTCATATTATACATATATATATATATATATATATATATATATTTTTTTTTTAGGCAGTTGGGGTAAAGTGACTTGCCCAGGGTCACACAGGTAGTAAGTGTCAAGTGTTTGATCTGAGGCCGGATTTGAGCTCAGGTCCTCCTGACTTCAGGGCCGGTGCTCTATCCACTGTGGCGCCTAGCTGCCCCTTCCCTTATATTTTTGAAGTTAATTTTTTTTTAACCCAAGTGTAAAATTTCATTTATTTCTGTTAAATTTAATTTTATTCAGTTTAGCCCATTATTTAAGCCTGAAAAGATCTTTTTGGATCTTGATTCTTTCATACAATCTATTAACCCTCTCTCCCACTTTCACATGATCTATAAATATGACCAGCCTGCTTGAAGTACAGTGGTGTAATGGAAAGAGTGCTTGGACTCTTTAAGTCAGTGGCAGCATCTCCCAGCTTTACTCCTTAGTAGTTCTGTGATCCTGGGTGAGGAGAGGAATCTCCAGACCTGTGTATTGGAGACCTGTCCCCAACTTTATACCAAACAGTTAATAATTGCTTTTTTAGTTCTGATTATTCAAGCAGTTCTGAATTCACCTCACCGTACTATTTTCCAACCCATATCTCCATTTCATCCATGTAGCATGAGAAAAGACTGTTAAATGCTTGGTTGAAATGTAACACTACTATATCTGAAGCATTCTTCTGATCATTAAGTTTGTTACTCAGTTGAAAAGGAAATTAAGATGTCTTTTTAAAAAATTTAGTATTTTATTTTTCCCCAGTTACATGTAAAAACGATTTTTAACATTCCTTTTTAAAACTTTGAGTTCTCAATTCTCTCCCTTCTGCCCTCTCTGTCTCCCCCATTGAGAAGGCAAGCAAAATTATACGTGTGTAGTCATGCAAAAAGTATCCATAGTAGTCATGTTGTGAAAGAAAACAGACAAGAAAAAAAACTCAAGAAAAATAAAGTAAAAAAAAAAGTATGCTTCAATCTGTATTCAGACACCATCAGTTCTGTCTTGACTGCCTTGTTACATTTGTTCTTAGTGTTAACTGCTTCCCTTTTTAAGTGCTAACAAACTATTCCTATGATTTAGTCTAGAATTTTTCCAGGATTAGCAGGTAGGCTTACTGGTGTTGAATATGTAGACTCTATACTCTTCTTATTTTCGGAATATCTTGACCATCCTTGCTCTTATCCAGTCTTGTGGCGTTTATCTTGTTCTCCAGAATCATTCAAAAATTATTCACTGTGGTTTAGCAGTCAGATGTGTCAGTTCTTTCAGTATCCTAGAATATAGTTTATCTTGGCCTGGGAACTTGAACATATTTAAGTCAGCTAGAGGCTTTCTGATAGTTTATTAATCAGCAAGCATTTAAGTGGTGATTGTGTGTCAGGCACTGTGCTAAGCATTGAACATACAAAGGCAAAAGTGGAAAAGTTCTTGCCTTTTAGGATCTCATATTCTAACAGGAAGACAACATGTGCATATGTAGAAATATACATTATATTAAAAAAAATGTTAGTTTTGGTATGGAGTGCACTATTTCTGTTCTAATCTTCTGAGTCCAAATAAGGAAACAGGCTTAGAGACATTGATTTGCCTTACGCTATATCTTTTTTTTTTAAATTTTTTTAATTTTTAATTTTTTAGTTTTAGGTAGTTGGGGTTAAGTGACTTGCCCAGGGTCACACAGCTAGTACGCGTCAAGTGTTTGGTCTGAGGCCGAATTTGAACTCCGGTCCTCCTGACTTCAGGGCCAGCGCTGTATCCACTGCGCCACCTAGCTGCCCCTTAGGCTATATCTTCTAGCTTGTATTTTATAAGCTGTCCTTTCGTTTCTTCTTCCTCTCTTCTGCATCTTATGTTTGTCCTGACTATAACTTCTGCTTATTATCTTCCCTTTGGTAGACTTGACCTCTGGTTAATCAAGTTCAAGGTCACATTGTTCTGTACCATGAAATCACTTGTCCTTAGCCTTATTATATTCTTGCCTTGCCAAGCACCCACCTTGGCTTATTTTTGCTGTCAGCCATTGCTTTTATTCACATGGTGCTGATGCTGGTGGAAGAAGTCACGCAGCATTGCCAACTGAGTCTACCACAAACTTATGTTATCCAATCTCAGTTGGTTCTTGCTAAGATGTGGCACACTAATTCACAAAGTCCTACAAATGTTGAAGACTATACCCATTCACACTCTAGAAGTATGGACAGACTAATTTTTAGTAGACTGGCCACTTGTTGATGAATTTTATGGCAACCAGTAAAACTGAAAAACAAAAAAAAAAACTCAGAGAAATACAAAATTTGACTAGCAGAATAGTGAGAAATGGGATAGAGAATGTGAAAAATCACAGTTTCTGGATAGTTTAGAAATGTTAATTTAGCTGTTAGCATTCGAAATGTGAGATCCTTGTCCAGGACCTGGTCTTAGCTTTACAGATTC